CCTCGCAAATTTCATTGTAGTATTTTGCTTTGTCATTCCGAGCAGCCTTTTGGAATCTTCTGTTCAGCTCTTTAGTATCTTTAATTCTTCCTTGTGCTTTGGCTTCTCTACGCTCCAGTGCAATCTTCAGTTAAGACAGTATTATAAATATTCCCTGACTATCTATGTCTTGACAAATATAGAATGAACTTGAACCTTTATGAACTAAGAAATGTTTTTCTTAGACTAAAATTGAATAATGAATGACATTTAAAGGAAGTGAAACATGAAGTCTCATATAAACTTCCAAAATAACAAACAGATATTTTGGAGAAAGTACAGTCAGAGTGTTCCTTGGTGGCAGAGAAGACAAAACTTCATTTCACATACTTTGGGCACATTGCTGGGAGAAGCTATTCCAAGGAGAGGAACATCATGCTTGGCAAGATGAAGAGACAACGGAAGAGAGGAAGACTTTCAACTAGATGAATTGACAGTGACTGCTTCACTGGGCTTGAATATATCTGAAATAATGAGAATGGCACAGGATAGGGCAGGGCTCCGATCTATTGTCAGGGCTCATACCTGTTGTTCATTGGGTTACTATGAGTTGTATTCAACTTGATGACACTTAACAACAACAAATTGAAGAGCAGACTTAGATTTTCTTATCCCAATGTGTAACCTATTAATAACTTTGTATATTTACTTTTGTTCTTATTACCTTCATAATGCTTTAGATTTACTTAATATATCTAATCTATGTGGTAAGAATTATTATTCTCGTATGTAGATTGGGAAACTGAGATTTAAATTGCTTAAGTGTCTTTGCCAATAACACAGAACTTGGAAATGGAGGTCAGATTTGCAGTCAGGCCACTCTGGCTCCTGACCTCCTGCTCATGGTCACATTGTGTATACAAAACTGCCTGGGGAAAGGCACAGTCCTAGACCTGGAGAGAAGACAACCTACTTCAGCGAGGTAACTAAAACTTCACTGTAGAGTTTCTCCATGGCTAGAAAAATACATTGTGCTGCAGAGGGTTTGCTTATGTGTCAGCAGCAGTGCTAAACTGAACTGGTGGTGTGAGCTCTCACAGTATGCAGCAGGCTTCCCTCAGTGAGGACTGCTTCTAAAGAGGAGAGAATGGCAGGCTTGAGCTTGCACATTCACATTGGAAAAAGGATTTTAGCAAAATGGAGTATGAAACATACTAGGAAATAAATGCATGTGCATGTTCTGTGCTATGAAAAACTGGCCATTTTTTAAACTCAGACTTAAATGACATGAGAAAGAAGAGCAGGATTGCTGTTTCATTACATTTCACTAATGGCAGCACTTTAATCATCATCTTAGTTTTTCTTACTCTAGAAGCTTCTGTGCCATGTAAGCTAAATCATGTTCAGAGAGAAAAGGAGATGATAGCAGCCGGTAGCTATGAGAACTACATCTCTGTTTGTGATGTGACTTTTATTTTATTTTGTTGTTACAGGTTACTAAGTAGCATGCTCTGTTAAGGAAGTTTACATATAAAGCCTTTAAAATACCTATTGTTGTTGTTGAGTGCTACTGAGGCCACACGACTCATAACTCAAAACCTAATCCTGTCCTGTGCCATCCTCAGAATCTGTCATGTTCAAACCTTTTATTGCAGTCATTGCATCAGTCCATATCATTGAGGACTGGCCCCTCCTGTCAACATGCCCAAAATATATGAGACCAAATTTCACTATCGTTACCTCTAACAAGCACCCTGGTTGCAATTTCCTCCAAGGCAGATTTAATTATTTCAGTAGTCCATGAGATAGTAAGTACTCAATTAAAAAGCATTAATTCTTCATTGATCTTCCTTATTCATTGTCAAGCTATCAGATGGATATTAAGCAATCAGAAATATTATGGTTTGAGTCGTGTGCACCTTAGTTGTTAAACATCCTTGCTCTTTATTGTAACACATCCGTTTGGATTTTTTTTTATGTCAAGATACTTTATTTTTAAAACACGTCACAACACTAACCTTTGGCCCATTCTGCCTCTAGATGAGCTACAACTGCTTACTCAGCAGCTGGGTGCATTCTTTAGTAGCATGAGTGAAAAGTGAATAAAAATGGATATAAAACAAATATTCAAATAGTTTCTATAGGAACACAGATAAGTGTGACCCCATCGCCTAGTTTTCCATATTGTTGCATCTGTTCCATCCCACCCTACTCATGAAGACATTTCAAAACTAGCAATAATTAAGTTAAATGGTCCCTCCCCAAATCCCTTAATTCAAGCAAAACTTGTAGTTAACAGCTACCGCAATGGTATCTACACATTAAGTGTAGTAAAGTGCTAGTAAGCTGAAGTACAACTTGTTGGATGCCGTTTCATTCCACTTTCCCAAGCACAAGACAAAGGCAGAGTGCTGACATCCTGTTCCTCCACTTTGAGTGGATACTCATAGTTCTTGATTTGCTGCATGAGTTGCCATGTTGGCCCAGACATCATCTAGTAGATAGTTGGCCTCTGGAACCCATTGAAAGTAGTGTCAGCAGCAACAGTGTAAGCATCCATGTTTTCAAACAACATCCAGTCCCCCACATGCACTTCTGGCAGGTTACAGCACTCAACAGTCCAATCCAGGCCATCACATGTTGGTCCCCAGATGCTAGATGAGTAATATTTCTCATCTGGTTTGGGTCTCTTTTGCAGCAGAGGCTTTACATGTGCATGATAGTAAAGGATGCAATTAAATGAGCCATATACCCATCATTCACATACTACATAAAGGTTTATTCACTCGATTCATCTTCATCATCAGAGCCTGTCTGTTCTTTTAATACAAGTTTCCTGGCAATGATATTAACAGCAAGAGTGAAAGCTGATACAACATAGTATCTACCTGGCTCAGCTATGATTTTTACTCCACAATCTGATGGAAATGCTGGATTGATTACCCTGGTGATCTCTTCAAATTTTAGCTTCACATCCTCAGATCCAGGAAAGCTGCCACCAATATCAAGCAGATACATGCTACAGCCAACCTCAGCTCCCATGCCAAAGACACAACGGGCATCAGATATTGCTTGCACAAAGGTCTTAGGGTCGGTACAGCCACTTCCCACAAGGAAGCTGACACCAATTACATCAATGTTGAGTTCTTTAGCCCATTCTCTAAGAAACCTGCTGGTTTTGAGTGTAGCACCAAATTTAACACTAAGGTGACAGACTGCTTTGGAATCATCAGTGGCAATCCGCAAAACCAACTTTGCTTTTGTATGTGTCCTGGCAACTTTCATCTGCTCTACTTCACTATCAAAAGTCATCATCTGAACTCCAGTATTGGCAACATACTTAATTTGCAATATTTACAAGGATTTGCATAGATTATCCTCTCTGGAGCCACCCTAAGACTCTGTACCAACTGTATTTCATACTTGCTAGCACAGTCAAATCCTGTCCCTATGGTAGCCAGGGTCTTCACTATGGCTCTGCTGTCATTACATTTGAGTGCATAAAAGGGAGTGACCCTAGGAAGAGCTTTTAGCCATCTTAGATGCTTCTTCAGGATGTCTCCAAAGTCTGCAACATAAAAGACATCTTTATCATCTGAAGAGGAAACTTCATTAATTCTTTGGTCCAGAATATCCTTGGCAGTAAAACCTTCATCAAGAAAATGGCAGTCAAACTCTCCATTACTAAAGCTGTTCATGGTTTCTCAATGTTTTTTTCCAATATGAATTAAAGAGGAAAACTAAGAGACTGAATTTTAAATTATTTCCTGCTTCTCACAAAGGCCAAGTCTTTTGGGATTTCAAATCCGACTGAGTGGCAGGCTTCTATCCTTGGTGTAGCACTGTCAATGTTCTCAGTGCAGACAGAAGCCATGGACTGCCCTGTGTAGATGCCGCAGCGGGAACTTGGGAAGAATGGATCCACAGGTCCTGGTGCTGTCCCTGCTGCCTCCACCCACCAGAGCACCACCGGCCCATGGCAGCGCTGGAGTTGCTTTGATTTCTTGACTGTTGCTACCATAGATGTTGATTATGGATCTAGGTAAAATAAAATCACTGAAAACTTAAATCTTTTCTCCATTTATAATGATGTTGTCTGTTGGTCCAATGATGAGGTTAGGAATTTTGTGTTCATTTTTAATAAGTCATTAAGATAGCATCTCTTAGAATGTATAAGAAAGTGACCTTGGCATTTATAGCTATTATTTGACAAAAATATTTTCTAGCCAAGATTATTTTTTATTATATTTACATGCACCAAATTTTTCATGGTACCCAAATGCGTAAAGATAACACAGCTTTGGCTCTTCCTCACACGTTGCCGCAAATGATGGCAAATGTGTTTCTAAGCACAGTCTTCAACTTAAAAAGTGTGCAGCAACGTGTTAGAATATTCTAGGCTGTCTGCAGTTTAAAGATGTCTCGTATTTACCATTTTGAGTTTATATTTTAAGCCTTCATTTTTCTTCCTACATTAGCTTGATTCTGTCCTTAAATCTCAGTGCTATGTTTGTAAAATGGAGTGCAGACATCTTTTTAAAAAAATTTTAAAAATATATTTTTAAATAAAACACATTTAGAA